TGCATGATCTCCGGAAAGAATCAAGGCTCCATCAAGCAAAGCCCGGAGAAAAATTCCCCGAGCACCATTTTCATCTCAATCCATTACAGCCCCACAACTTCGGCACTTGTACATCTCAGATCCCCCTATTTTTTGAACAATCCCACACCAGCTGCAAGTTTTTGAAGTATAGGCCTCATTTTGGATAATAACATGGATTCCTAATTCTTCAGCTTTTGCTATCAGACGTCGGCAAAATTGATAGTGAGCCCAACAGAGCATTTTACGAACAGTTTTTTCGCGTTATATTTCTTGTTTTTCGATTTACCATATTTGATACCTTAAAAGGAGGAATGATAATGGCATCAAATTCACGAGTAAAAAATGCAACACTCTTTTTATGAATTTCACTTTGCAGATATTTGATTTTTCCGAGAAATTGCATTATCAAGTCGCAAGACCTTTTTATTTTTACGTTTTGAATTAGAGGCAGCCAGATTGTCTCTTATAGAATGAAGATTATCATATATTTGCATAAATGAACAACTCGTCCAATGTCGTATTGGCCAATTTTACCTACACCTTTAGTAGGAGAGTACCATGTGAAGGGTGTATGAACGCCAGGATCAATGGAGACTGCATGTACAGAACCATCCGCTTGGGTTTCACGGAGATGTTTTTGCATCTCATAAATTTCCATTCATTAGTTTTACGAATATACGTGCTTTCACAATCAGATGTTATCTTGTGAGGAACAGGCCACTTATTATTACACCTTTTTTTTTCAAAATGAAGAGGCCACAAATCATGTTTATCATGATCCAAAATGACAACAGGCTTATGACAATGTGTGGAAAGAATTGATGGATTGTGAAGCTAGGTGACATAAAAACGGTTCCTTATGAATTTTGAAAAATTTTGTGAACGAATTGTTATTATTTGTCGTAAATCTTTTTGAGATCAAAATGATAAAGATGAACCTCGTTGATTCGTGTATTATAGTTATCCCTAAAAAAATCAAAAATGATACAGTGGTCGACATAAATATCCGGAATTTATTACGACAGGTAAGACATTTTATTTTTATTATTAACATGTGCGAAAATTTTGTACGCACATTCTCAAATATGACTAACTATTTACAAAAATTTAATAGTCAATTTTTTTTCCCTCCCGTTCAATCGCCGCCGAAACACGATCCTTCATACTCCTTGCTAATTGAAGAAAGAGATCTTCGCTCAAACCCGCCCATTCCATTTGTATTATCATTTGAAATTCTGTTGTTGAAAGTTTTTTTTATTAACTATAAATTTACCTCCTTTTCCACCTTTCCCTTAAGTATGGCCCACAAATCCTTGATGGGATTGATATCCGGTGAGTAAGAAGGCCAATCAAAATTTGAACATCATGGCGATGAAAAAGATTGATTATTTCGCCTGTATTGTGGGAAAAATGTGCATTTCAAGGATTTCTTGATATTTTTTAGTATTGAAGTTTTCAGTGAACAAGACAAGTCAATTGGTCCTTGCATACTAAAAGCACCCCAAGCATGAATCTTATAGGGATGCTTTACCATACTGTTATGTGGTCATGATATTCCATGATGGTATCTTATTAGCTGAGTATTTCTGAACATTTGAGGGTTGTTTCATCAGAAAATATTGTGTGAGACCAATTTTGACAGACATGTTTCTGTGCCCATTCAAGACAAGCTGCAATGTGATGGGGCTGTAAAAGAGGAACTCGCAGTGGATGACAAACATCAAATCAAAGATTTTTTTAAGGTACATTGAATTGTATGAATGGAAACTTTCAAGTTAGGATCTTTTTGTTTAAGTCTTTGAGTCATTTCAGCTGCGGTGGTGGCATTATTGATCTGCACCAATCAACCAAGGATGCGACGTTGCTCAACTGTGAGAATTGGGGGTCTTCCAGGTCTGGGAAGTGGCATAATACTTGATGATTGTTTTAATCCGATTGATTATATCATACACGTAGACTTAGGAAAACCTGTTATTCGACAATTTCTGCAGGTTTCCGGATATTATTTGCCCAAAGCTGACTTACCACCATTCTTTGTGCTTCGTGCTTGGAAATGGGTGGCATTTTTTTTAATTTTTTTGTTAACGGGTGCGGCAAAAATGTTTACGTTGTTTTGTTTATTATTAAACAAAGCAATCCCAATTTTATACACGTATTAGTTTAAAATTGGTAACATTACGCGACGTTTTGTGCACCAGATCGACATTCCGAATATTTATGTCGGCCACTGTAATCATACCTAGCAGTTAATGCTTCATCAATTGCCTCATCGATAATATTTGCAGGTGCTTTGCCATATGTACCTTCCAATACGCACAATAGTTCGTACGAATTTGCGTTCACCCCATACACATTATTTTTGAAGTTTCTTGTCCTCATGTTCATTGACATCTTTTCCTACATGAACATCTGCATAAAGTTTAAGTTTATCTTTAATAGGTTAAGGTTTTACCCAAACTCGTTGTGATGGACCAATATGTGAATTCTTGGTATAGAAACGGCAATATCGACTCCAGCGAACAACTGCATAATAAGCATATCTCGTCAAGCCCACCCAACGTTTCAATAACTGCTTTTGATAGTGATTTGGATACACTTTGATTAGCAGTGAGTGGTTTCCAAGTGTTGTCGCTTGTTGTGCACTGATGTTGTCCTGATCTTTGTCTTGCGCTTTTTTTCTAGCCTGGTGTTCTCATCGGTGAATAGCGGCTCTTCTTTCTTGCATTCGGCAGATAAAGACCGTGTTGATTGCAAGGATATCTTGGGAAAGTTCGTGTTTATCGGAGGTCGCATCATCGAAGAGAACCATGAGTTTTGTAGTATGGAGGGAGAGTATATACTGGATGAGGTCGAAGCCGAAGCGGCAGAGTCGGTCACGATGGGTAACCACAATTTCTGAGACCATTCCGCGACTTGTCTGTTCCAACAAGGTCTTAAGTCCTTGGTCGTTTGAAGTTGACACCCGATCCAATATCATTGATGGGTTTGTAGGTTGGAAATCGGGAGCTGAGGAGTTGTTTCTGCCGTTCAAGATCTATTTTTGTTTGATACTAGAGACCCGAGCATAGAGGATCCCTTTTTTGGTGGTGGTGGCGGCAGCGGCGTTGTTATCGACAGATTGTGAAGTCAACTCTGGAAAAATAGAAGATATGTTGTAAAGACGAGTACCAGAAGACGCTTTAGCTGTAATCTTTAACCATCGACGCAGGGTGTCTGATGAGATACCAGGAGCTAATATTGACGATATTTATAATACGATACCAGTGACAGATTAAATAAAATATGAAAAGTATTTTGAATAGTATCTTAAACTATTAAAAATTATTAAAAGAAGAAAATTGGATACTTGTATTCGTATTATTCATATTTACATAATTTGGTGTGCAAATACAAAAGATATAGTTTACGATTTTTGATTTGAATCTTTATATATGATTTCATTGATAAAGCAATTATTATTAAGCAAAAAAATCGGTAAAAAGTTTTTGTATTTTTTATTTCACGATTAGAATATGCATTTCAGTATGCATTATGCAAATGAAAATATGTTGATTAGTAAATATTTTATTCATAGAGTATATATTAAATTTCTTGGTAATTAACTATACGTGGCTTATCTGGCCAGGAAATATCATCACCGCCACCTCCACTAGGAATGCTAACGACTCGATTCAACTCGACTTTTACCGTCTATGAGTTATAGTCGACTAAAAGTCGATCACATGAATTTCCAGATAAAGTTTATATCATAAAATAATCCTTAGCGTTAGTTTTGCGCATGCTTACTGTTACGTAATTAATTATATATCTAATCATATGATCGACTCAAATCGACCAACTCTAAAAAAGTCGATTTTTTTGGAGTCGGTCGATTTGAGTCGAATCGTTAGCATCCCTAACCACCACCACCACCACCACCACCGCCTGGCATGGGCAATGGTAATAATTCAGAGACTTTTCACTTTGGTTGCCAGCATATTTATATTCATATTAGACAAATGTTGCGAAGTTCTAAATATAGGCTCTTAAAACGATAAATACATATTATATACAACTTTGCTAGGGCTAATGCATGTACAGTACCCACAGTAGTATCGCCCAATTTGAAATTATATAGCAAAATATTTATAAAAATTTTTTCATGCTTTCATAATTAAAACAGTTCTTGCATCTTAAGTCGTCCACAGCTAGGAATCATTTTTTGAAAACTACAATTGATTAACTTTAAAATGGTATAAAAGTTAGAAATAATTACTAAAAGAAATATGAATATGTATATAGCTTGAAAATTTCAAATTTTTATATGTAAAACGTGGGAAAAAATTTTTCCTTACAATCAAAATGGTCTTTGCACTTGAGTCATCCACAGCTGGTAATCATTTGTCTAAAATATAACTCATGAGCTTTAAAATGATATAAAATTTAGAAATAATTACTAGAGAAAACATGAATATGTATATAGCTTGAAATTTTTTATTTTTTATATGTTTTACTTGGGGAACCCATAACAAATACTGTGCATTTCTTTGGAAAATTACTATTGCACTGATACAGTATTCGATAATTTACAGTGTAATGTGTCATTGTGGAGAGAGAAAACTGCAAAAGTAATTGAAATTTCTTCAGCCATTTGTCTATAGACTCCTATTTTGACCCTTGGGCAAAACAAAATAATTGAGTAATAAACAGTGTTTAAAATTTGATGCCCTCAGATATAGATTTTTTTTCAAGCGTTCGCCATAAAATTTGCAGTACAAGTTGTCCTCACTAGAGAATTTATGTTCTCACGAGAACTCTGAGAACACAAATTTCGAACCCTGGTAATCTACTATTACATTTGAAAACCAATACATGTATATGTACATCAATTTGAATTTTTACAACGGAACGAATGTTAGAAGATTTGGTGACATCATTACCATTGTTATTTGCATCTACAATGGGAAAAACGTTACGTGTACAATTTTCTGCCCCAAGCACAATTACATCTTGCCAACTGCATGTACAGGTATTATGCAGATGGAAAGGAACAAATAATGATCAGCAAAAAGCATTTGAGTCGTATTTAAAAGCAGCCGAATCTGGCATTCCTGAAGCACAATGTAATCTTGCTTTTTGTTATGAAAATGGAGAGGGAACAAGATAAGCAAAAAGTATTTGAGTGGTATTTAAAATCAGCACAGTCAGGAATCCCTGAAGCACAATTCAACCTTGCAAATTGCTATGTGAATAATCGAAGATGAGCAAAAAGCATTTGAATGGTATCTAATATCAACAAGTTCAAAAATCTCTGAAGCACAATTCCATCTTGTCAACTGTTATGCAGATGGAATAACAAAAAAGCGTTCGAGTGGTATTCGAAAGCAGCAGAGTCGGGAGACTCTCAAACAGAATTTGATCTAACTGAATTAGGACATGGTACAATGAAAAATGAGAGAAAAGTGATAAAATATTTTTCCAGATCTGCAAAGTCTGCGGTTGTTAGAGCCCAATTTATTCTAAGGTTTAACTATGAAAGAAACAGAAATACAAAAGAAATGGAAAAAAGTTTGCTCGAATTTCTTTTATTAGAATTGAGCGAGGGTAATTCTCACCCATTATTTCGACTTGGACAATGTTATAATACTAAAGCATTTTTTAAGGACTACAGTCAGACTTCTCTATAGTCAGCACACTTGGGAAAGCAAAATTGGGTGACTAAAGAGAGGTGTGACTATAGAGAGGTTTTTTTAATTATACTTAATTAGTAACTGTAAAACTCAAAAAAGGTGACTATAAAGAAGTGTGACTATAGAGAGGTCTGACTGTATATATTTCGGCATGAATTTTATTTTTTTTACATTACCGTTAAATATTTTTTTAACTGACAATATTTATTAGAAAATATATGGTCCAAGTCGCTCATTATAGTGAATTCTCCGTTATATAAATATTCTCGATATATTGAATTTTTGAAATTCACTAATAGCCCAAACCGCCTTGATTCCGAGCAAAAATAAATAAATGTAGCCGATTTAAAACGAAATCAAATTTTTGGATGATAATTATGCAAAACACTATGTTCCCTTCTATTTAACTAATCCCTCGGTTGGAGATGTGGAAGATATAATACCAACAAATTATCCGTTTTCTACAAAGAAATAACTTGAACCTAAACAACAAAGACTTAAAAAAATTCGTAAGAAAAGGGTCACTGGTTCAGACTTCCTCTAACTGACTAGAGAAATACTTCGTGATAAACCTTATAAATGGACAAGCTAGCAAGAAGGTTGTAGCGTCAGTCAACGAGTTGAATAGGCAAAGTAGTTTCTATCATAAAATGATTTAACGTTTGTACGCCTCGCTTGTTATTTAACAGGTAGCTATTTTGTATTACTTTATTTTTTGTTTTAAGGACTTCTAAGTCTCGAAAATATTTATTTTTGATTCGCCGCCCATCTCATATTCTCCGAAGGGTACCAAATCGAAAAGTTCTAAAATGTAGTCGGTAATCCTCCGGATGAGGTGACATTTTGGGATGAATTTTTTGAAAATGTAAAATGAGTATTTGTTCGACCAAGAACGAAAATTCAAAAAGCCAGCATTTATTGAAAATTATAAGGCTACCTACGAAGAAATCGTTCGCCAAGCTTATAATGTAAATATTTATATGAGGATATCACAGATTGTGATACTGACAAACCAGATTATACTTACCACCTAGATGTTGAAAAATTGATTATAGCAATCGAGTCACATTTTACAAGGTATCAAAACCTGATCGATCGTTACCCAAATTTTACGAAAAGGATGCTAAGAAAAAGATGGTGATACAATTGCTTTTCAACTACTTGTTAGAAAACCAACTTAAATACGGGTTCTTTCTACTTATGACTGTCATTGATTGTTAAAAGAGAGAAAAGTCACCTCTATTGGGGTCAACACGTCCACAGTTCTCAAAACCTACGCACATCTGACTCAGCTAGCAAAGGACGGCCCTTATTCTCCTCATTCTAACACCATTCTGCAAACTGACGATCCAAAACATAATGTTTGAAAACTTTAACATGATGATTCTAGCTCGAGTCAACTACCCTTCTAGGAAAGTCAACTATCATCATCCATACAATCACCTCTGGAAAAAAGTTAAGCAAACAAAACATAGAAGCACAAATTTTTAAACATTATGACCTTAAATATAATAGTATATTAGGCGCTGGAGAAAATAAAAAGGTATTGAATGTGAATTCCATGGAAAGACAATTACCTTGAAGTGCACTGATTTATGGAAGAACCCAATTGTCTGGATGGATTGCTGAACGAAGTTGAAATTTATAAAGCTCTTGATAAACCTCAGGTCCTGAATGGTCCTGAATTATTTTTTATGGTGATTTGGCAGATGGAATGAGTTTTGTTATGGGTATGACTATTGTTGGTACAAAGGCAACCCCGTTATAACGAACCTCATTTAACCGAAGCACTAATTACAACCGAAGATGGCTCCAGGATAAGTTATAGTAAATCTACCCGTAAAATCGAATTTACTAATGAAACCTCGGATAAACCGAATTTTTTACTAATAGCACCGACCACTTCGGTATAACGGGATTGCCTTTGTATCAAATTGTGTCACCATAAAATAAATAAATTGCAAACGAAAAATTCTCTAAGTGCAAGAAAGAAAATTCATAATTGTAAAGTGCTTCACGAAAAGGATATATGTATTTGACAGATTGGAATGTCAATTCGAAATTAGCTGTTTAGTAAAAAGATGATGTCTGAATTATCCCGTTTACTAGACTGTTATATATGACTATACAAATTCACGAATTTTCTTAGTTAGTTAGCTTAATGTCATCATGTATGATTATAACTTTTTTATAATTGTTTTTAGTGTTTGATATTTGCCTTACATTATTATTAATAAAGTAATACCTATCTGTTTGCAAAAACAAATAAGGATGCTTGTATGTATGGTGTGGTTGTGAGGATGGTGTATACTAATATTTCTTGATTACGATTTTTTCTTCCAGGATCATTGCAACGAGAAATTGAACATTAGTGAAACAAAGTGAATAGACGGCTGTGGCATCTTCAGGTAAATATTAATAATGTTGATACCTCTGAATATCTGTCTTTCAACTTTCAGATATCGTTGCTATTGTTATTGCTTCTTTATTTTTGTAGTAATTTCCTGCTGGTTTATCAGTTAAAGTTTGATAGCGTTATTAACTTAGATAATTAAAGTTTGTAATATTATTATAAAGTTGATGAATGTAATTTATGATATCATGATTGCTTTTATTCGAATGAAATGATACAAGCTATGTCAACTGCTATGTAACATTTTGATTATCCTGTTGTGCAAGCTGCTTTATATAGTTTTTTCTACAAGATTATAAAGTCATTATTAGCTCTCATTGGAGACTTCTTCAGTAATTAAAGCCTGCCAAAGTAGATTAAACTACTATTATACTTTGAGAGTCGTTGATTTTGAGAGATTCATTATTATTTTCACAAAATATGATATCTTTTTTTATCAAAAAGCTATTATCAAGTTGAGATTATTACTTATAGCAAGTTAATATAATATTTATATTCTTGAAAATTTAAAGATCTAGATAAAATTAAAGAAGTATGCAAGTCTTAAACTAGAAGTGAAATATATAATATTACTAAGAGAAATTAGAAAACAGAATGAAATATATAGTAATAAATACTTTATATATATAAAAGAATTAAGAATAATAATTACTTAGTTTATTATTTTATTATAATAAAGAGAGAAAATTTATCTTTTTATACTATTATATATATTTCTTTTATAATATATTATTGTTTATATATATTATATTATTTATAATATATATATGCTAAGTATTAGTAATATAATTATTTTTTATTAATAAATATTTAAATAAAAAATTAATAAAAGTAAGTATAAATTTTATATATTAAAATTAATAATATAAATATAATTAAATAAGATATGGATTAAAAAATTTTATAACAAAAATTATATATCACACTAATAATATTTAACATCACATTCTAATTAATAATATTTAAAATTATTAAAGTATTTACTTTTAGATAACTAACTAATAACTCTTTGTAATATGAAATTTTATAAATATATATAAAATTATGTGTTAAATATTTTTATTTAGACATTAAAAGAAGATTATTTTAATAAAATTTCAAGTTATTAGTAAATTTTCAGTTTTTTATTTCATATAATAAAAATATTTGAGATTAATAATCTCAAAAAATATGATTATATCATAATTTAATTAGATAAAAATACTGTGATATTGAATATCAATGATATAATTTATTAAAATTATTTTATAATATTAATATAAAAAAGTTAAATAATAAATAATTAATATTATAAATATAAATAAAATATATATAAATAAAATACTTTCAAAAAAAACTAGAGATAATATATATAGTGATAATTAAAAATAATAACTTAAAGACTAAATTTATTAATAAAATATAGTGAAAATTCTAATTTTATTATATTTTATTAATAAATTTAATTTTTAAGTTATTATTTTTTTATTACTGTTACTGTAATAGCATAAAAATCTCTAATTCCCTAATCTTTTTGTGATTATGCAAAATCACATTTTCTTATAACTTTTACATTTTATAATTATCCCTATATTTTTACGTTATATAACTATCCCGTATTACTATATTTATTATCGTATTTCTATATTTAGATATTATCTTATTTTTAGTTAGGATTTGCATTTTTATTAATTTGTATTATAATATTTATGTACATAGTAGAATAGTGTAGTAGAAAACTATTTTTAATTTTGGTGAAACAGTTATATTTGGATGATGATCTTAAATATCTTTCCACGTCCTTTGATATCTTTTAACATCTTCTCACATCTTTTCATGTCTTTTCATATCCTTTCATGTACTCTGACATTCTCCAACGTTCTTTAATGTCTTTCAACGTACTTCGATATAATCCACTTATATTATAGTATTTTAATTATATCTTATATATTAGATAGTATTAGTTAGTAATACTATAATAATTTTGTATTTGAAAAAGTATAAAAGGACCTGCTATCCTAGCTGAAATAAACAGATTTGAGAGAATTATTTGGAACATATAAATTATACTAGTATCCTTTCTTAGTTTTGAAGAATTGTTTGGAAAATATAATTGTTATATTAGTACCTTTTCTTTCACTCGGTTTTATTCCTTTGACCAT